TTTGAATATTACATGTTAATAACTTGATTGGAATTATAACCTTGAGTTGACAGTTTGATACTTTGAAAATTTTGAGCCAGCCCTACCCCCAAGGGCTGTAGGGTGGGGCTCAAGGGAGTCAGTGTGCTAAAATTTCTTCATTTTCCTTGTTTAGAATCAGAGGTGCTAGTTTCAAATCCTTTTTAGTCTGAAATCTGTATGCTTGATATTGAATAAGGTGGTTTTATTGTTTTTTGTCACTTTGAATAATATTTCTGTTCATGTTAAAAACGAAATCAACTCTCTGTATAAATATATCAGGTGACCGTTAAGGCCCATGGGCCTCTTGTATTGGAATATCACTCATGACTACGCCAACATTTCTCTATACATACTGGAGGGTAAAGCATTAATGATCATTCTTTGATGATGCATTATTTCCACATTTCTGGTAGGTTAATTTCCTTTTAAACAATAATATCAATAAGCCGAATATTTGTGTAATCCTTTTTGTATCATGATACCATGTGGGTCTCAGTAATCAAGGCATTGTATCACTTGTATATGAAATTTTGGTTGGTATTAGATCACTCTTTGGTTACAAAGTTCTGCAGACAGTATCACTGATCTATGAAAATAGCTGATTACTTGTTTATTCATTGAAGATTAAATTACTTTTCCAGGTCAACTATCACCACCCTACAACACAAGGTCGACAACATGGAAGTATCCATGCACAGTCGTGATGTCACAGCCACAGCTGGTAACCGACCATACACACAAACAAATGGTAAGTTCCTATTTTTAGCTCGCCTATTCGGAGAATGTAGTCATCCCGGCGTCCCACCTTGGGAGGTTAAAGTTTTTGGGCAAGTTTTTTCCAGACAGTGCTGGATCATCACACTCAATACACAGTTGTCTATTATGAGTTAAAGTCATTTATGTCGAGTGTAAGCAATGTGCTGGACCATATTTTCATATTTTATGGCCCCAAAACAGTTTAATTGGACTTAGTTAAATTTGAGGTTAAAGCTTTTGGGCAAGTTTTTTGGTGAAGTGTTTGACAGCCACCATCAATAGGCTGTTGTCTATTATAAGGTTGAAGCATTTATATGGAGTGTTAGCACTGTTCTGGACAATATTTACATATGTTATGGCCCAAAAACAGATTCATCGGACTTGGTTAAAGTTTTATGGCAAGCTTCAGGTTAAAGTTTTTGGGCAAGTTTTTTTGGGTAGTGTTGGACCACCACCATCAATAGGCTGTTGTCTATTATAAGGTTGAAGTATTTGTAGTGTAAGCAATGTGTTGAACCATATTTTCATATTTTAGCGTCCAAAAACAGCTTTATTGGACTTTGTTAATTTCTTAACAATCACTTCACATAGATGTTACTACACATTTAACAGTCCTTGAAATATCCTGGTGGTAAGTGAGGTGGCAAACAGATTGACAGGCACTATATCAACGTTTTACTATACATGTGTTTCTTTTGAAAGTTGCAGTATTATAATAACATACATAGGCGAGCTATGCTGTTCTCCAACAGCTCTTGTTTATTTTTGCTGTAATATTTACCTTTGCTCATCATCGTCGTCCTTAATCATATTTTCAACTTCTCTTTAGAAACTTTCAATCAGGTTTGATGAGATTTGCTGGAAATCATCAGCTTGTGGTGGGATCAGAATATTAACTCAAGAACGAGCTGTCCAAGGGGCTTAAGGACAGTTTTGTAAGGGAACACAAAGTGGTGGGATCAGAGTATTGACTCAAGAACGAGCTATACAAGGGGCTTAAGGACAGTGTTGTAAGGGAACACAAAGCGGTGGGATCAGAATATTGACTCAAGAACGAGCTGTCTAAGGGGCTTAAGGACAGTGTTGTAAGGGAGCACAAAGTGGTGGGATCAGAATATTAACTCAAAGAACGAGCTGTCCAAGGGGCTTAAGGACAGTGTTGGAAGGGACTACAAAGTGGTAGGATCAGAGTATTGACTCAGGAACGAGCTGTCCAAGGGGCTTAAGGACAGTGTTGTAAGAGAACACAAAGTGGTGGGATCAGAATATTGACTCAAGAATGAGCTGTCCAAGGGGCTTAAGGACAGTGTTGTAAGGGGACACAAAGTGGTGGGATCAGAATATTGACTCAAGAATGAGCTGTCCAAGGGGCTTAAGGACAGTGTTGTAAGGGAACACAAAGTGGTGGGATCAGAATATTAACTCAAAGAACGAGCTGTCCAAGGGGCTTAAGGACAGTGTTGTAAGGGACTACAAAGTGGTGGGATCAGAATATTGACTCAAGAATGAGCTGTCCAAGGGGCTTAAGGACAGTTTTGTAAGGGAACACAAAGTGGTAGGATCAGAGTATTGACTCAAGAATGAGCTGTCCAAGGGGCTTAAGGACAGTGTTGTAAGGGAACACAAGTGGTGGGATCAGAGTATTGACTCAAGAACGAGCTATACAAGGGGCTCAAGGACAGTGTTGTAAGGGAACACAAAGTGGTAGGATCAGAGTATTGACTCCAGAATGAGCTGTCCAAGGGGCTTAAGGACAGTGTTGTAAGGGAACACAAAGTGGTGGGATCAGAATATTGACTCAAGAACGAGCTATACAAGGGGCTTAAGGACAGTGTTGCAAGGGAATACAAAGTGGTGGGATCAGAGTATTGACTCAAGAACGAGCTATCCAAGGGGCTTAAGGACAGTTTTGTAAGGGAATACAAAGTGGTAGGATCAGAATATTGACTCAAGAACGAGCTATCCAAGGGGCTTAAGGACAGTGTTGTAAGGGAATACAAAGTGCAAAACTTTCAAATGATATCTTACTGATGGATTTCCCCAACGTGCTATATTAAATGATATATTCACAGAAGGGCTACTCCAACATAACTTCTTCACTATCCCCTACTGGGCGACACTTGCCTGTCAAGTTAGAATTTATTACTTGATAAAAAACATTTATTATTCACGTTTTCAAAGTTAGAAAAAATTGATATGTTAAATGTATTGTTTTTGTTTGGTGTCAAGGGTATCGGTCAGACAGTACTGGTGTGATGGACTTGGAAGAGCTTAATTTGAGTGACGACGACGACGAAGAAACAAGTCTAGATACATTTACAGATAGACCCACCAAACAGAAGAAAACATTGAAAACGTCAGACCCAGACAATCTCATTCTTGACTCTGGTGAGTGTAATTTAATAGTACAGGTTGTAACATATTGTTGTTCTGTTAACTATTATGTCTACATTTATCAACAAATGTACTGGCACTCCCTGCAGGGTTTCCAGGGACCTTACATGCGTAACTGTAGAGGAAAATCTACATCTGATTCCACATGAATAACCCTACTACAGCCGAGGTTTTGCTAGTAATTTTTCATTAGTCCTAACCATATGTAATCAACTTTCGACAGTCTACAGTATCAACATGATCTGAAGAGTTCCAAGCCAAAGTCCAGAGTTGATTTGTCATCCTGATTATCTGAATGACTGGCTCATTAACATTAAACTGCAATTTTCAGTCTCTTGAATTTGAAACTGTTAAAGAATCTCTTTGACAAAAAATTAACATCAGACAGTTTAGACATATTTACTATGTTTTGACTATGCTATAGTGTGTCTGATTGGTTTAAATGCATCATCCGACAACAAAACTTTGATTCCACTTAAGGGATCAAGTCTCCTTCCAGCAATCTATTTTCTTTGTCAAGTCCCTCTCAAAGCCTCTTTGTGGTGCACTCAACAACAAATGATGCATGCCAATGTCCCTTATTATCTTAACCATTGTGTTTTTATTGTCTCGCCGCAACAAAGTGGAAGCAAGACTTAGGTGTTGCTTTTACGGCGGCGAAGGCGTCGACATTAAGTTTTTGTGTTTAAGTAAGTTTCTCTGAAAGTATAAGTGCTAGACCAACCAAACTGGCACCATATATGCATCTTAGGTAGTACATCTCAGCCCATGCATCAAATGCTGGATGCGGCCTACCTTTCATGGTCCATTGACTTTGTCAGCATTTTTTGCGTTTAAGTTAGTTTCTCTGAAAGTGCTAGACCAACCAAAGTACATCTCAGCCCATGCATCAAATGCTGGATGCGGCCTACCTTTCATGGTCAGCATTTCCATAAACTTTAAGTTTTTGCATTTAACTCAGTTTCTCTGATATGTGCATTGATGGTCAAAGCGGGGCACAGGCGATACATATCAACCTGAATGGCTTGTTCTATTTTTGTATAATGATTTTATTTTGCCATGGTGAAACATGATTATCTTTAGGGAAACAGTTAATCATGTTTCCCTACTATAGGGGCAATATATGTATAATGTACTATAGCTGTATCTAACCTTCAGTAGTCTGAGTAAGGAGAAGTCTGTGCCATGAATCATATGTAATTATATGTACCTGTTTGTTTTACAGATGAAGACCTTGACCTGGATGACCTTGACCTAAGTGATGAGGATACTGTGTCGCTAGATTCACATCACTTTTGATACAGTCAAATTCTAGCAGACCACATCATCTTTTCAAGAACTACTGCCAAAATGTGTCCAGAACCATACAGTTCCACCAGATATTTCACAGAGAATAATATGAAAATACCACAATCGGAGGTTGTTGAGTTGTCAAAATTTGTCAAAGTAAAAACATTATACTGACATGATATTGTAGACAAACTTTGTCTTAAGAAAACAAAATTGATCTCTCTTCAGTTATATAACTCTTGATGAAAAAATATATTGTAACAGACATCTTATATGTATAGCTTAGGTAGTAGTTTATTTACTCCAAACAGTTAAATTTTATTGATTTACATTAATAAAGCTAAGACATTATAAGATGTTACTATAAACTTAAAATAAATTCTGCATATCATTATCTGCTGTGCTGAAAAATTAATAGAATATGTTATGTTTAAAAAATCAATATTTTCTGTGAAAATAGATCATCTAATGGATAGCACTTAATTTTAATCCTTGATTGTCTTTTTTTATGTTACAAACCCTGTATCAAAATATATGTATAAAAAAAAATCATTATTGTTGAAAAAGGTACTTTTTAAAACCTTTATTTTCCCGTTCTGGTTATAATTTTTTTCTTTTTTTTTGGTTGTCTTGCCAAAAGTTTTTTTCATAAATCTGCATATAAAAATGGTCACAATATCCTTGTTAGAAATTATTAGTGTCCTAATTTAAGTACCAGTGATTAAGTGTCATAATCAAATCATTTTTTTTTTAGCTGAAATGGTGCAATTGTATGTATTTGTGAATGTACTAAGCATAGCAGCACTCATTCTAATGAACTGTTTTAGCAGGAAAAAGTCTTGTTTGTTATAATTTTCAAATTCTGCATTGACCATAGCACAAGCTGCTTTACACCCAGACATAATGATATTTGTTACGTCATGGACTGGTGCTGCAGTATGGTACTGAATTATCATGCCAAAATGAAGGTCAAAAGGCAGATTTCAGATCAAGTTTGTTTAGCGTGAACTGTCTGAAGTATGTTTGCTGTTTTAAGTTATAAAAGAAATTATATTTCTAAATTAATGTGAAATGTTACTGCAGTATTAAATCAAAAGACAAAAGTTACTGGGTTTAATTGAGAGGCCAAAATTGGTGTCTCTCATGATTTGTTAATATAATGCTACATTTTTCATCAATGTCTCAAGATTAATCTGGTTTTATTTTAAGAATATATTCAGGTGTTTCCTCTCCCCCCCCCCCCCCTAGACTTATGTTAACGTTAGTTACTGTGGGCTAAAGTTGTAGGAAATATGTTGCTAGGCAACAAGGATAAATTGTTTTTGCCGAAAGTCAAAGTTTCATTTTATAAGAATACTCATGTGATTTATTGTCACCCTAAAGTTAGTTTGGTAGACCAGCTTTTTTTTTTATTAAAATCCAGCTACATTCAGGTAACCTTCATATTTTGCCAAAAGTTCAAGGTATGAGATTAAATTTCTTTTAATGTCAAAATACTTGTTTAAACCTTCATTCAGACCAATTTTTTGTTTGTTTGCTTGAGACCGATGACATATCTTAGGTCTGAAGTGTGCTACATTTTGAGCAAAATTCATATTTAATTTTGATTTTTTTTTTTTAATTGTTCATCATTCACCAAATCATCCGTTTGAATGACTTGACATCAGTGTATCTTATTATTTCAAAAAGGTGCATATCCTTAGTTAATTAAGAGGATGAGGGGCGTATAGTCATGTATAGGCTAAAGATAAGTGTAGTTGTTTTACACGAGATAGCAACTAACTATCAATGCTGTTTGGGGCAAGTTTATCATGTATAATTTCATGCTTTGTCAATGTTTCCATCCACGTTTCTACACCTGTAAACCCACCCAATCAAGTATCTTATCCCCCTCCCCCTTCACATGATAGCCTTGCACCTCACCCATATTTTTAAAGCATTACTGTATAAAATGTGTTTCTATATATTCTAAATGCTTACTGGTCATTGTTCCAAGTTATTAAATAAGTGTGATTCTTTTCGATTTTTATTCATACTTGGAAACACTTGTCTTTATTACATTGTCAGTGAAGATTATTGTTCTTTCACAAATACACTGTAGTCTAAATCTACAAAATAAGGGAAATTCCTTCATGGGGTGTCCTTATTGTGCGAGAACACCTTATTTTTGCCTGTTGCCAAAATCTTTTCCATAGTATGATATGTCCTTTCACTGCAGGTAATGAAACAAACTATAAAGAAAAGGGTGAAGCTCTTGTGAAAAGGCCAGTAAAACAATTTCATTACTAAATCTAGAAGAGGGAAAACTTCTTGCTGTGAAAATTATAATTTTGCAATAAATGTATTGATTAGATTTATTGGAAATAGGTCAAGGTTGCAAGAAGACAAGTTTCATATTTCTTTGATCCCCTCATCAAATTGTCATATCCAAGAAAGTTCTTGTCTTCCTGCAGCACTCAAAACAAAGTTCTGTAAGTGTTTCTTGGTGTTGTTTTCCTTGAAAATTTAAATACTGTTCCTTGATCTCAATGATCTCTGGTTTTGTCAGAAACACGATGTAACTGGGGGTTGACTTGGATTTTTATTTATGGTTGTGTTTGAAAATGTTTCTTTTTGTGTACCTGTTCTCAGTTTTAATGGGCAACAGATAAAGCACTTTAAAGATAATTTGAGATTCAAAGTTCCATTTTTTGTGTGTGTGTACACCGAGTACAGACTAGTCAAACTCTTAAATGTTTAAACTAAATCTAAGTTATGTCGACTTTGAAATCTAATATTGAGTTATAACAGGCACTGAAAATTTTCAGTGTTTCTAATGATGATAATGTTGGTAACATAACTCTTGTGAATATTTTATTGTGAACTGAAGAGTGATTCCGATCATAGGTGCTAAGATTCTTTGACTTTAGCAGGCCACTAGTGTACTGTTCCTTTTGGTAATTCTTATCCAAACAAGTTATTTGATGTAAAGAAGTGAATTTAGTTACCTGAACCAATGACACAATACATTAGTAATGATAAAGTGATTAACTGTCTAATCCGACACCTACTGGGACACAACATGTTGTTCAGATTAGACAGGATGTCATACTACACAGGACTTTTTGATACTTTTCATGAGGATTGAGATTTCAAATTTTCTTTCCGATTAGATTGGATTTTGGATGAGATTTCAAAATAATATGGGGTGTCGGATTTGACAAGATTTCAAAATTAGACAGGATGTTAGATAAGATGAGTTTTACTGTATAAATATATTTATAATATGCTAACTTAAGTCTAGAATTAGGAAATTTTCAAATTTGTCTCACAACAGATCCCAATTAAGTTAATTAAGGATCCTCCAATCAACTAGACATTCTCAAAACTGAGGCTCAAATCAAAGGGAAGATGCTCAACACTGAATGTTAAGAATTTTCTGTTAGAAATATTTTTTTGGTGCATTTACAAGGAAGTCGCATCTAGTTGAAAAATCCTCATTTCTGAGAATAATAATTGTTCAGACCTGACATGTATACATGCTGTACTGCATGTTGAAATAAATTCATTGAAGTTTCTATTACATATCATAAATCTCTTTATCATATATAATTAAGAGATTTATAGTTTGATGGTTAACAATCCACAGATCATATAAATATATATGTTAGGAGTATTTTATAATCAACTACATGTAGATGATTAAATAACAACATTATTTCAATTTATTAATTCATCGATAGACAAATGTACAGATGTAAATCATTATACATGATAAAGCCACTGTTTAAGGTTCACTTCGTTAGAGATAAAACCGTGTCATCGCATACTACACGAGATCAATACTCCTTACAAGGAGAGGGACATCTGCATTTCTTGACAAAACTGGAAAATAGTGTCTAGTCCCCGAGTCCAGAAAGATTAAAAAACTTGATATCATGCTCAGTTGACAGAAGCACAATACAAAACATTTCTGAATTTGTTAGATGGGATGCAAGAAAAAAACACCATTGTAGACAGAAATCTCAAGATTTTTGTGAGTTAGAACTCAGTTTAGCATTGTTATGAAAATTATCTTTAATCAAACTCAGAATGAAATTTTTCTGTCTACACCACACAGGTGATAGATTGATCTCAGCTGTCTGACATAGAAATAAGTAATGGTTGTCCTGCATGTACGTGTTTGCACTCATGTCCTCTGTGATGTCATCTATGCACAATGTGATAAATGTTTATGCAAGTTATTTATGCAATTAAATATTTTTATTGATATTCATAAAATATTTTGTTTCCTGTTGTTTTTTAACCATCAGTATTTCAGTAGTGATGAGTTCGTCCTTTTTATGATCAAACAGATTCAATTCAATATTAAATATAATTTAAAAGTTCTTTGAAACATGTAGTAGAGCCAACACCATCTTTCTCATGTACTGTGCAAGGTGGTTCCTGTACCACTAACTTGGATACCTAAAGGTATGCAGGGCAGTTGAGGACCAGGGGTAAGCTATATATAGTAATACAACGGCAACTAGAAACTTGTTTTTGTTCACAAAAACATGTCTCCCCTTATTAGCCAATGGAAAAAATTTGATATAAAAAATTAACAAAGGGTCATATCTCTTTATATAGTGGGGCACAAGACCCGTATTTAGAACGCAACACTCCTTCTTCCAACTCTATATATAGGAGGGCATGAGATCCGATTTCAGTGTGAGAGATTCCGCCTTCCCAAGATACATTAATATGGTAAGCTTGGTCAACGTAGGTAAAATAACAGAACTTATGGTCCGGACAAACTTCAGTATTAAAAGTAAACAAAGGGCCATAACTCTACATATAGTGGGGCACGAGACCGAATTTCAGTGCACTGCACACCTTCTGTGGGGGATGCAGGTATACTTCAAGTTTGATTAAGATATCTTTAACGGTTTAGAAGTAATGCCGTGGACAACCTTCAATATAAAAAAGGTTTAGAAGTTATGCCGTGGACAACCTTCAATATAAAAAATAAACAAAGGGCCATAACTCTGTATATAGTGGGGCACGAGACCGAATTCCAGTGCACTGCACACCTTCTGTGGGGGATGCAGGTATACTTCAAGTTTGATTAAGATATCTTTTAATGGTTTAGAATTTATGCCGTGGACAACCTTCAATAGAAAAAATAAATAAAGGGCCATAACTCTATAAATAGTCGGGCACAAGACCCATTTTTAGTGCGAGAGATTACACTTTCCCAAGATACATTAATATGGCAAGTTTAGTCAACATTGGTGAAATAACATGGAACTTATGCTCCAGATAAAACTTCGGCATTAAAAATAAACAAAGGGCCAAAACTCTGTATAAAAGCGGGGCACAAGACTTAATTCCAGTGCACTGCACACCTTCTGTGGGCGGTTCAGGTATACTTCAAGTTTGAACAAGATATCTTTTAACAGTTCAAAATTTACCGGGAGGACAAGATTTTACTGAAAATGTTGCACTTATTTGACCTTGAGGTGAAGGTCACTGTGACCAAATTCCAGGGCACTGCACACCTTTTATGGGTGATGAATGCATACCTCAAGTTTCATCAAGATGTCCAGGACAAGTTGCGATTAGAAGAACCAGAAGGAGAACTAGTACTAATACAACATGTCTCCCTTCAATCGAAGGGGAGACATAACAAGATCAGGGTAAGGTTATTTGATTTATTGCCGGGGTGTACCAATGTGGCACGAACAATATAGCCTACTGTTTGGGCAAAATTGGTAGACTTGCAATAAATTGAAGAACCTTACCCTGATGTTGTTGCGGTTGTATTACTTAATATATGAATATGATTCCATTATATGATCAAATCATGACTTTTTTCCTCTTTTTGAGATGTCCCTTTATAAGATTTAAATTACATGTATAATACAATGGGTCCTGAGATATTAAACAGAATTTATAATGATTACAGAAATAACAAACAAGAAAGTTTCTGAGAAAATCTTTTCATCATTTATGACAATATGGTATTGCTGAAATATGACAATGGAAACTCTGTATGATATATATACAATAACATGATGGTGGTACCAAAGTATGTACCACACAGTGAACAGAGTATACGTAGCTTCAAACCAGGAAAGCAAGTGCCCACAATTATTTCATGTCTTCCTCTATCTGTCCAAGAGATTTCAAAAATTGGGGAGGAGCCAATCAATTCAAGCACTACGGTATAATCAGATAAGTTTTTAACTGTTACTCATGTTGGTGATAACTTGTGTTATGCAATTGGAACTCAAACAACTCATTCCTTGAGAAAACAATATAAATCTATAATAGCAAGCTATATAAACTTCAAATTCATTTTTTCTGACAAAATGTGAGCAAGAAACAGAATTAAAGACTTGTTTGTTAACCTACAGAACTATTTGATACAAAGTTGGATGTTTCATCTGATCAATTTCTGCTCCAAATTGGTGTCATAACTCTAGAAATATATTTCTCAATAGATTTTTCTCACACTTTATACAAAGGTATACAAGTATAGAAATACTTCTAGTCAGATTGTGTTTCAGAGTTCCATGGTCAAAGTCGAGGTTATCAGTACCATTTATAGAAGTTTGTGAAAAAATGACACCAATCTGTAGGGGAGCCGGGCCCATCCATGTCTAACTAGACATTTTCTAGTTAAAAATATAAAATAATATCAAAATTTGTAACAAACAAGCTATCTTCTTGTACTGATAATAACAAAATCTAAGTGTAAAACATGAGAAAGGGTCATTTCAAATACATATTCTTGTGATTGTTTACAAATAAGTGAGTTGTAAACATGGATAACTTTTCTGAGTAACAACATCATGATTTTACTCCAATATTATTCATGTTGGTGCAGTTTTCTTAGTTCTGAGAACGGAGTCATTTTGTGTTTAAAATGCATAAATTAATGTTGTAAATTAAAACAATTTAAAGTACCATACAGAGTTATCCAGTTGATATTTGAAAAAAACAAATCACACTTTTTATCCTTCTATCTAAACATGTCTAAATGAAGAGAGCCAGAGGATAACACATGATGAGATTGCATTGAGAACAATTTAGATAACCAAACATGATACATGAAGGTATTACGAGGTATACATTTTGTATGAACATAGCAGACTATTTAGAACATTGTATACCTGGCATTCTTATACTAAGAAGCTTTGTGCCTGTATGTATACTGTATATAGGGTAATAATTTATGAGAGTTATTTTCGTGGTATGAAAATTCTGTGCATTCAACATGAGAGCAAACATTTTTGGTAAAGAAATAGTACATACCTATCAATCTTGAAAATTTAACACAGTGAGCTTGTCTTTTTCTTTGAGTAACACAAAATTAAAACAGCACTGCGTGTAATGAACACTGGATACCATACTCGGTGTACTTGTCATTATTATGTTTGACATAGACCATAGTTATTACATCATGCTGTCTGTTAAATCAATACTGACCATCGACTCGAGTCACATACACATACACACACACACGCAGATCTTTGGTCCTTATAGCACCCTTACAGCGTCCCCAAATCTGACCTTTAAACACTAGGCAATTCTCACCAATCACAATAATACATTTGCTCACTCCATGAACATCACTAACACCGCTGAAGTCGGTCCCTTGCAGAATTTTATGTCTAAAATTGATTTCTTCAGTTTGCTACAATAAATCATTTTATGATTCTGCAAACTTTTTATGTCTTTCCGATAAATTCCTTAAGAACTCCAACATGGTATCTGTAGACCATCTATGCCATAGCTTGACACCATCATAGACATGCTGATTAGACATTTACTGTCTTAACCATGATAACAATATTTCAACCTGTGAGGTCAAGATTTGCCAAACACGGACTGTATGGCATCTGTGAGTCCAACCTCTTTGAGAGCAATCTTCAGTGTCCCAACTGTAGCACGGTCACCTTCGTTACTCTGAAACAGTGACAAGGATTAGTAATTAACGCTGACAAATGTTTGTTTTGTTTCTTGTGGAACTCTTATTATCCTGAGATAATGTATAACTTTTACTTAAGGTATTTAGAGATATCAGATGGAATCACACAATAACTGCTGGACTAGGACCCCGTGAAGTACCAAGTAACAGGTTATTGACATAGGTTGCGAGTTAAACATATGATCTTTTAACTCTTCTAATACACATCATGATCATTAGAAAGCAAGCTAAAATTAAAAACAAAACGTTTCTGTGACCACATGTTTCTTAAAACATTTGTTGGCCCTGACGACCTATTCAGTGTTGATGAGCCGTTCAGCAATAAATAATAAAAATAATTCTTAAAACAAAGATTTCCTAATCTTTGCTAACGAAGGATACTGATCCTCTATACACATTTGTACAGGATGTTTGTGTAATGGATCACAACCCTTGTAGTGAAACTTTCTGTAAAGAATATTGCTGTCATCATTATACTTACATGCCATACTTTAAGCATCTTAAATGCCTGTTGTTTTTCATCACTAGCTTCTTTCTCAAAGTATGAGATGTCGTCCTCAGGGAAGTTGAGTTCTGTGGCCAGTTTTTTCCACTCTCCCGTGAGTATGGCGGCTAACTGCTCGAGTACGGGTTGTGTTAGAGTATCTTCTGTATTGTCTTTACCTGTAACCATTGTTAAGAGTCAAAATAAAACGGATACAGGTAGAATGTTTCTGATATAACGTTAGCCTCTTTCATAACCAAACAAATTTGTGGAGAGGAACTAGTATAAACTTATACATAGCTTGTTTTCCAATCCTTTTTATACTATACTGTATTTGTGTTAAACAAACAAATCTGTCTTTGACGTATAGGAGTTCATATCAACAAAATTCCTAAAATGAAAGAAGAAAAACATAAAAAAACACTTCACTAGGTTTGGTTTTATAAGGTTTAGCATCCTATTTTAAAACATCAATGGTCGTTTAGGATATGCCTCCATGTGTGTAAGGTTTGTTTGTTTGAGGCGGTATGTTGGTGTATTTGCCTCCTTGGGATAGCATGGATCTGATGCTGACTTTAGAGTGCTACCTCACTTAAATACTACTAGTACAAAATTCCACCTAGTCACATTTTACTGACAACTGGTTGTGTTTACCCTATTTTGACTAGTCTTGTAAAACAATGTTACTTAAAAAAAAAATATTACCAAATTAAAGTTCATTCTTCATACATTGATTTTCTAACATTGTCAATATGTCACTTTTTTTTAAACTGAATTGTAAAGTGGTAGTTTTCATTCTAAATGTTATATCCTAAATCTCACACCCTGAATTTAAAATCTTGTATACTAAATTCATCTCCAAAAACTGTAAAATATGACTGACCAAATGAGGGGATCATTCATAGATTTGTCAAGATTGATGTTCAAACTCGGTTGAATATACAAAGATTTCAAAGCATCCTTGTAATTTAACCTGAATTTTCTCTGTTCCAATCTTTAATACTTCACATAAAGGTACATTACCTTGCTGCTTTGATTTTTACACAACCTGATCAATGTTAAACTGTTCTATCCCAAACCTATTTCCCTGTTGTTACACTGTTGTTACAAATACTGTACCTTGTTCATCATTCTGTTCCTCCATTTCTTGTCGTTCCTGGATACCCTCCTCCTCTTCACCGATCTCTGTTTTCATCTCCTCATTACTGGCTGTCTGTGGGATCTCCTTGGCGATCTTGTTCAGCATGGTTTCCAGATATTCAGCCAGAGGGATTGCCGGCTTATTGGTGTGTGTGAAGAAATGGGGACTTCGCCGTGCCAACAAGCGTAACGACTTCCATTGGAAAATTTGCTCGTTGATCATTCTGGACATGAGCAGGGAATGTTACATTAAAGACCATTTCAATATCTTATTCATCAAGACCCGGTTGTTTAAAGTCAGATTAACTTAATGAAAACTTTACATAAATTTTCATCTGGTGTATGTTCAGAAAGACTGGGAGTGACAACAAAAAAATATCTCCATAGATTCAGAACCATCATCTACAGATCTAGTAAAGAAACACTTTAGTACACAAAATGAAAATTTTCAGGTATTTCTCAACAATTACATTCTTTTTGTGAATAATTGGGTAAATGAAGGATTAAGCTAATCATCATTTGAACAACAGAAATGAGGAGATTATTTTCAAAATCAAAATACAAATGTATCTGAGAAGAATCCTTCAATTATGATAAAATATCAACATATTTTTGCCAGTCTCGTATACCCTTGAGAAAATCATAGAGAATAAGGCTAAATGATAAAGTTGCTAATGATTCTAAAAGACAAAAACAAACAATTTCAGTTAACATGGACTATTCAGACAAAAATATTAGACAAAGATTGTGATAAATTATTAGCATACTTGTATTCATCCTCCACCATGGCCTCTGGGTCGGACTGGTCCATTGCCTCGGCAAAATAATCTTCTAATGTCGGTAAAAACACTCTGCAAATGCAAGGATACATAATTTATCTGTGTGTTCAGTTATTCACTTTAAATGAGACTAGAATTGCTAATGCCTCAAACAGCCTTCACTTAAGAGCCTTATGTTATAATGTTATAATATAGGAAGAGATGGTCTCTCTGGACAGGTTATTTTACCTTTTGTCGGCCCGACATGCTCCCATGTTGTTAGGATTGATATTCCACAGGCGTGTCAGCTCTGAGCTCCCCATCTTTATGATCTTGCCACCACTAGCCTGAAGGTCATCTCCAACCCACCGTCGCTTTGCCCTGGAAATAAAAGTCCAATATGTAAACACTCTCAATATGAAATACGCTGTAACAGAATCAAGCGACTGTATACACATTCAATACTCACAAATCCTTAACCAATCTTCAAATTTATCCTATACATGTATCACACTTTTCCTACTTATAGTCCTGTCTCCATGTGAAATTGGCTGTTGCGAGGATAATAAACCCTGATTAAATAATAATTAAGTCTATTTGAAGTACTTCCAGGGAAATCCCTGAGCAATACCTTTATTGGTAATAGACATCTTTCATTGAGAAATGATTACTATATCAACTGTTTTCTCCAAACTCCATTCCATTAAAACTCAAACGGAATCTCCTGTTTCAGCTAATCTCCAGCAGGACTTGATTGATTTTCTGATTATCAATTCACTACTACAAGTATTACTTTGTTCTCTGTTTGGCATCTGTGTTCTTCTCCCGCTCGTAGCTTGGGCAGCCATCATTTTTCCATTCGTTCCAATACTCCTCCCTCGACAATATATGCTACAACAGAGACAAAAAATAGAAACATTTTCTATAGCAGCTCAACAGGATAGATCAGGATACTGGCTATAACTGTCTGTGAAGTACAAGTGTGTGCTGGAACTATCAGGATATACTGGGTATAACTGTCTGGGAAGTACAAGTGTGTGCAGGAATGATCAGGATAAATTGGCTATAACTGTCTGAGTAGTACAAGTGCGGGCTGGAATGATCAGTATATACTGGCTATAAATGTCTATGAAGTACAAGTGTGTTCTGGAATGATCAGGATAAATTGGCTATAACTGTCTATGAAGTACAAGAGTGTGCTGGAATGATGAGGATATACGGGCTATAACTGTCTGCGAAGTACAAGTGTGTGCAGGAATGATCAGGATAAATTGGCTATAACTGTCTATGAAGCACAAGTGTGTGCTGGATTGATCAGGATATACTGGGTAGAACTGTCTGTGAAGTACCAGTGTGTGCTGGAATAATCAGGATATACTGGGTAGAACTGTCTGTGAAGTACCAGTGTGTGCTGGAATAATCAGGATATACTGGGTATAACTGTCTGGGAAGTACAAGTGTGTTCTGGAATGATCAGGATTTACTGGCTATGACTGTCTGTGAAGTAAAAGTGTGTGCTGGAAAGATCAGGATACTGGGTATAACTGTCTGGGAAGTACAAGTGTGTGCTGAAATGATCAGGATATACAGGCTATAACTGTCTGTGGAGTACAAGTGTGGCTCGAATGATCAGGATATTCTGGCTATAACTGTCTATGAAGTACAAGAGTGTGCTGGAATGATCAGGACATACTGGCTATAACTGACTGTGAAGTACAAGTATGTGCTGGAATGATCAGTATATACTGGCTATAACTTTCTGTGAAGTACAAGGGTGGCTGGAATGATGAGGATATACGGGCTATAACTGTCTGAGTAGTACAAGTGCGGGCTGGAATGATCAGGACATACTGGCTATAACTGACAGGGAAGTACAAGTGTGTGCTGAAATGATCAGGATATACTGTCTATAACTGTCTGTAAAGAACAAGTGTGGCTGGAAACATCAGGATATACTTGCTATAATTGTCTGTGAAGTACAACTGTGTGCTGGAATGACCAGGATATACTGGCTATCACTGTCTGTGAAGTACCAGTGTGTGCTGGAATTATCAGGATATACTGGGTATAACTGTCTGTGAACTACAAGTGTGGCTGGAACGATAAGGAAATACTGGCTATAACTATCTGTGAAGTACAAGGGTGGCTGGAATGATGAGGATATACGGGCTATAACTGTCTGTAAAGAACAAGTGTGGCTGGAACGATAAGGAAATACTGGCTATAACTGACTGTGAAGTACAAGTTTGTGCTGGAATGATCATGATATACTGGCTATAGCTGTCTGTGAAGTGCAAGTGTGGCTGGAAACATCAGGATATACTTGCTATAATTGTCTGTGAAGTACAGGTGTGGCTGGAATGAACAGGATATACTGGCTCTAACTGTCTGTGAAGAACAAGTGTGTGCTGGAAAGATCAGGATATACTGTCTATAACTGTCTGTAAAGAACAAGTGTGGCTGGAAACATCAGGATATACTTGCTATAACTGTCTGTGGAGTACAAGTGTGGCTCGAATGATCAGGATATGCTGGCTATAACTGTCAGTGAAGGACAAGTGTGTGCTGGGATGATCAGGATATAATGGCTATAACTGTCTATGAAGTACAAGAGTGTGCTGGAATGATGAGGATATACTGGCTATCACTGTCTGTGAAGTAAAAGTGTGTGCTGGAAGGATCAGGATATATTGGCTATAACTGTCTGCGAAGTACAAGTGTGTGCAGGAATGATCAGGATATTCTGGCTATAACTGTCAGTGAAGAACAAGTGTGTGCTGGAAGGATCAGGATATATTGGCTATAACTGTCTGAGTAGTACAAGTGCGGGCTGGAATGTCATGAACCGTTCTGTTTTGGCCTATCATTGACACACAAAATAAAATTATTAACAAATGTTTTCACTTGAATATTTTTCCTCTAAATTATGAGAGATGCATTTCAGACTATAGTCAAGCATTATTATATATTGGGTGATTGGGATAAAACATTGATATAGAATATTAGAGTTTCATAGCATAGGAATGAACTGCTTCAACGTGGCTGGAATGATCAGGGTATACTGGCTATAACGGTCTGTGAACTACAAGTGTGGCTGGAATGAGCAGGATATACTGGCTGTAACTGTCTGTGAAGAACAAGTGTGTGCTGGATTGATCAGGATATACTAGCTATAACTGTCTGTAAAGTACAAGTGTTTGCTGGAATGATCAGTATATACTGGCTATAAATGTCTGTGAAGTACAGGTGTGGCTGGAATGATAAGGAAACTGGCTATAACTGTATGTGAAGTACAAGTGGGTGCTGGAATGATCAGGGTATACTGGCTATAACGGTCTGTGAACTACAAGTGTGGCTGGAACGATAAGGAAATACTGGCTATAACTGTCTGTGAAGTACAAGTGCGTGCTGGAATGTCATGAACTGTTCTGTTTTGGCCTATCATTGACACACAAAATAAAATTATTAACAAATGTTTTCACTTGAATATTTTTCCTCTAAATTATGAGAGATGCATTTCAGACTATAGTCAAGCATTATTATATATTGGGTGATTGGGATAAAACATTGATATAGAATATTAGAGTTTCATAGCATAGGAATGAACTGCTTCAACCTCAACAGCATGGTATGGAAAGTTCTAAGGGTATTTATAATTAGACCCGCTGGTATTTCAGGCAACACGAGGTATTCAAGCTCCACAGAATATTCAGCCTCCATAGGGTATGCAAGTCCCCAGGGAATTCTCGCTCTTTTCGATATTCTTGAATAGGGTATTCATGTACCACTGGCGTTTAAGACTCCTCACAGTATTCTTGCTCCACAGGGTTTTCAGGCACAACAGGGTAATCAGAATAAATCAAGTTCCACAGAGTTTTTTGGCACCACAGGGTTATCTATGAATTAGTGTTTGAAATATCAAAGTTGGATTATCATTCAAATGAAACAAACAAGCAGCAGCTGGATCTTGAAACTTACCTCCACATTACTTGCAAATTGTTCTCCCTCTGGCGGTGTCTCTCTGATCAGTTGGTACACCCTTTCCTGGGTGTTTTTAACCCACTGGTTCTGGTCATCTGACAGTGACTGATTGTTACTGCAAACACACATAATAGAACTATGATATACTGTTGTGTTACAGTGTCTCAACCCTATTGTAATATACATAATAAAACTATGATAAATCGTGGTCTGACAGTGTCTCTGCCCTAATGCAATATACACATCATAAACTATGATAAATCGTGGTCTGACAGTTTCTCTGCCCTAATGTAATATACACATCATAAAAATAAGATAAATCGTGGTCTGACAGTGTCTATGCCTTATGTAATATACACATCATAAAAATAAGATAAATCGTGGTCTGATGGTGTCTCTGCCCTAATGTAATATACACATCATAAAAATAAGATAAAGCGTGGTCTGACAGTGTCTCTGCTCTAATGTAATATACACATCATAAAACTATGATAAATCGTGGTCTGACGGTGTCTCTGCCTAATGTAATATACACATCATAAAACTATGATAAATCGTGGTCTGACAGTGTCTCTGCCTAATGTAATATACACATCATAAAACTACGATAAATCATGGTCTGACGGTGTCTCTGCCCTAATGTAATATACACATCTTAAAACTATGATTAATCGTGGTCTGACGGTGTCTATGCCCTAATGTAATATACACATCATAAAACGATGATAAATCGTGGTCTGACAGTGTCTCTGCCTAATGGAATATACACATCATGAAACTATGATTAATCGTGGTCTGACGGTGTCTATGCCCTAATGTAATATACACATCATAAAAATAAGATAAATCGTGGTCTGACAGTGTCTCTGCTCTAATGTAATATACACATCATAAAACTATGATTAATCGTGGTCTGACAGTGTCTCTGCCTAATGTAATATACACATCATGAAACTATGATTAATCGTGGTCTGACGGTGTCTCTGCCCTAATGTAATATACACATCATAAAACTATGATTAATCGTGGTCTGACAGTGTCTCTGCCCTAATGTAATATACACATCATAAAACTAAGATAAATCGTGGTCTGACAGTGTCTCTGCCCTAATGTAATATACACATCATAAAACTATGATAAATCGTGGTCTGACAGTGTCTCTGCCTAATGTAATATACACATCATAAAACTATGATAAATCGTGGTCTGACGGTGTCTCTGCCTTATGTAATATACACATCATAAATCTATGATAAATTGTTTTCTGATAGTGTCACAGACTCACCATAATATACACGTCATACAAAAATAATGAATTGATTTGATGATAGGAAAAACTCTGACATAGCTTAGTTAATGTTACTCACTTTTAATTATAAACACTGGCGCTAAATCATCATCATCAGGCGATAAATGTTACTCACCTTTAATCATGAACACTGGTGCTAAATCATCATCATCAGGTGATAAATGTTACTCACCTTTAATTATAAACACTGGTGCTAAATCATCATCATCAGGCGATAAATATTACTCACCTTTTAAACTTCACCTGGGAGTTGAGGTACTGGAATAGGATGAGGAACTGAACAAGGACGTATCTCCGAAAGTTACTGTCGTTTAGCTGCAGATCCATCAACTTAAAAAACACCACCACATTAACTGATTTATTTTTTAAGTGACATGGTCAAGTTTTGTTATGCTAATTTTATTGCATATCCACTTGTTTCTGCGCCATAAACTGGCAATTTCTATTTCCATGGACCTATCATTAGTATCATGGTATTTTAGCAAATGGACCATGGATTCAAATTGGGATAACTCATTGATAAATAAATTGAAGCAGAAATTTTCAAATGCTGATCAATTCATTAAGTTTTAACTTAGATGTCATATTGTTTCCCCACTTTAAACAAGTCCAATCTACTATACTTTGTTTTATCTATTATCATAAAAGAAATAATGTCAACTGGTTAGATTCAAGCACTAGTACATGTACAACCAAATTTTCAAAATAACATACAAGTAACAAGTTGAACTGATTTTAAATAATATCATTATGTGCCAGTGTACCAATTAGGGATCTGGAGAAGAAGATCAACAGGAACCATAGTAACGGTGTCCTATTCAATTCAATGTTAACAACTTGATTTTTTGAGAACTGTTTTAACCATATTTTAACTCATCTATTTCGCAATTGACACAGATGAGAGTACAATTAATGTATTTTCCTATTGACACATATGAGAACACAATTTATGTATTTCCTATTTACACAGATGAGAACACAGTTAATGTATTTCCTATTGACACAGATGAGAACACAATTAATGTATTTCCTATTGACACAGATGAGAACATAATGTATTTCCTATTGACACAGATGGGAACACAATTATTGTATTTCCTATTGACACAGATGGGAACACAATTATTGTATTTCCTCTCGACACAGATGAGAACACAATTTATGTATTTCCTATTGACACAGATGAGAACACAGTTAATGTATTTCCTATTGACACAGATGAGAACACAATTAATGTATTTCCTATTGACACAGATGAGAACATAATGTATTTCCTATTGACACAGATGGGAACACAATTATTGTATTTCCTATTGACACAGATGGGAACACAATTATTGTATTTCCTCTTGACACAGATGAGAACACAATTTATGTATTTCCTATTTACACAGATGAGAACACAATTTATGTATTTCCTATTGACACAGATTAGAACACAATTAATGTATTTCCTATTGACACAGATGAGAACATAATGTATTTCCTATTGACACAGATGGGAACACAATCATTGTATTTCCTATTGACACAGATGGGAACACAATTATTGTATTTCCTATTGACACAGATGAGAACACAATTATTGAATTTCCTCTCGACACAGATGAGAACACAATTTATGTATTTCCTATTGACACAGATGAGAACACAGTTAATGTATTTCCTATTGACACAGATGAGAACACAATTAATGTATTTCCTATTGACACAGATGAGAACATAATGTATTTCCTATTGACACAAATGGGAACACAATTATTGTATTTCCTATTGACACAGATGGGAACACAATTATTGTATTTCCTCTTGACACAGATGAGAACACAATTTATGTATTTCCTATTTACACAGATGAGAACACAATTTATGTATTTCCTATTGACACAGATTAGAACACAATTAATGTATTTCCTATTGACACAGATGAGAACATAATGTATTTCCTATTGACACAGATGGGAACACAATTATTGTATTTCCTATTGACACAGATGGGAACACAATTATTGTATTTCCTCTTGACACAGATGAGAACACAATTTATGTATTTCCTATTTACACAGATGAGAACACAATTTATGTATTTCCTATTGACACAGATTAGAACACAATTAATGTATTTCCTATTGACACAGATGAGAACATAATGTATTTCCTATTGACACAGATGGGAACACAATCATTGTATTTCCTATTGACACAGATGGGAACACAATTATTGTATTTCCTATTGACACAGATGAGAATACAAATAACATGCATTGTATTACTGGAGATCTCATTTTCTCTCTAGGCTTTTCTTTAGCTGATGTTTCTCTCCCTCGGCACCTTTTGTTGGACTTTTGTCAGATAAATGTGAAGGGTCAGGATACCCTGTATAAACTATGACTTTTTGTAAGATTAAACCTTAAAGTGGCAGTTGTGTGGCCCCATTATCTGTGTATGCATCGATATGACTTGAGCTGTGGTTAAGATGGAAATCAATCCTTCATGTCTCTAAGACATCTTTCAGTGCATAACCAAAGCTTGTTAAACACTCCACATCTCACACAAAGTGAACATACAAGTACCTTTTCACTTGTCAGGTATTTGGCAAAAAAGGCGGTTGTGTCAGCAGGGCGAGGCATTAGAAGTTTCTTTCGTGACGACTTCATGTCATCCAATTTAGCACTGTTGAATGCATTGAGCACTTCATCAGAATTCTGGAAAAGAATTGGAAAGAGCTTACAAATACATTTTATGTTGGATGCAAGAACTTTAAAAACATCTTAGATAAGAACTGACATAACAGTTTACTGGTTAATATGATGTGGATTTTTCACCAATCTTTCAAATTTAAAGTGAATTAAGAAAAAAACAATTTACAGGAGAACTTTTAGAAAACTGCAGTCTTAGATTGAACTTTCAAAGTCCACAAAACGCTAATACTTGTCTTAGTGTTAATAGAGAATTGACTGTAAACAGAGGTTATCTGTAATCAAAACAAGGAAACATTATACTAATTCCAACATTTTTTGTTTTTAATGATAAATTAAATACATAATTATATGAATACAACTCGGTTAATATCATTTAAAATGATGACAACTCTTTACACAAAAACACACTAGAACATGCTGTTACCATCTGAAACATTTTCCAGGGAACTTTTTCAAAGCACTGTGTTGGTTTTCTGAAGAAATCTTGTAATGCCCAGAATCGTCTGTACAAGTTGTAATCAACTGGTCTAAAAGAAATAAAATATGTATGAAAGTATCACTGTCTTAACAGGACAGCAGGAGAGATTTATACAATTACCGTGCAAACAGGAGAGATTCATATAATGAAAATGACAGACAGTTTTGGTTGTCCTAGTTACCACTGGTTTTTTTCATGATTACAAGGTGAAAGTAGCACAATGTAAGTGGTGTCATGGTTACAAAGTGAATCTATATTTTGTGATTTCGCTGTACAAAACATTTACTTTGGATGGTCATCTGTTTCTCCCTCTTCTACTTCCATTCCGTCCACCTTCAACTCTGTCTGTAACAGAAAACAAAGCAGCATATTTCACCAGACAGCTTCTGTACTTCTCATAAGCAACTGAAAATTATTCTTTTGTTTGTTTTCTCGAAAGAATTTTTTTTTTGCAAATATTAGTTCTATTTATAAACTTGTTGCATTTATCCAAGGGATTGATGACATTATGAAGAAAATAGTATTCACAATACACATATAAGCATGAGGCAAAAAAAGCACACTACCTAGCTTAAATACTGTGACAAATTGAGCATACAGTGTACCTATGATCTAAACTATAAACAGAGGTTTTGAGTTTTCAAAGTGTGAGATTGACTTTCTCAGAAAGTGAGATAATGAATGCATAGAATGAAGCCTAACATTTTATCAATCTTATTAAAATTTCATTTGCTTTCTTAATGAAATATATTGGTACATACATAACATGAATAACTTGGACCTTTCTGAAGAATTCAGCATCATACTAAATGGGGAATGATCTTGAGGCCTCCAACCTTGATGTTGAATGAGTTACTGAATCATCACAATCAGGAGGTTTTACTCTATACATTAGAGATTAGAATGCTACGATTTGAAGCCCTATTGCTAGAGGAGAATTTGACATGACGACATGCACTGCCTTACCTCGAATCTGTCTGCTTTTGTTGTATATGTTGTTACGTTCTCCAAGTTGAACTGGCTCATCAGATTTAATGCTAGAGAAGGAAACACAGTAGAGTTATACATGTTAAAAATGAAGACAACTTATAACAGCTTATAATGTTGTTACTGGTAATGTGTTTTTCACACACTCATACCACATGTTATTCACAATCCAAAAAGTCAATAATTGTATGATCGACATTAACAACTATAAGTGCTCTGATATCTAACAGAGATATTCGTCACCTTTTCCTTGGAAGATAAAGACTGCATGCCATTTGTACAGAATGTCTTAATACTGAATGGACATTACCTCAAAGTATAATTAATTCATTTAAACACAACTTTACAGCAAATTTAAGTTGATCAGTATTAAACAGGTCAAATCAATATGCCTAGAAAATACATCTGTCACCCTACATATCCCAACAAATACAGTCAGTTACAGTAACTCTTAAAACAATAAGGACATTTTGGATTTTAAAAATATTGGACCAATATCTCAATCTCCATATTAAACACCAGCGGTTCCATTGATCACTGTAAAAAAATATCTGAATTATCTCCCTTTTCCCTCCTACACATATTCCCTTAAGTGAAGATAACTTATCCATAATTCAATGAAGTCAACAGCCTGAATTGTCTAACACAGTGTTGGCCTTAATCAGAAAACTGCTAATTGTGTTTCTAGTCAACAGTACATTACATGTACAGTCAGCCCTACCAATGTAAATGGTGACAGGTCTAGAAAACTAACTTTGGGAAGAAAGAAAAGAAGCCATAGTTTCCTCAAACACTGTGAATAATTCTGTATGCTTAAAAAACATAACATAAATGTTTGCAAAGGCATAGGTTAAACATTCTCACCTGACTTTTCTGATAATGGAAATAATCTGGATAGGAACAGCTGTATACGCCCACAAAACACTGTGTTCTGCGACTTGGAAAGTCTGCGGAGAAGATCTAAAAAATCGACAAGAGCATCACATAGCAGAGTATTATCACAGGAGAGCTATAGGGTGCTGCCTTTGTTCATTGTAAATGATTTTGAAGTGCAAGGTTTCAATAATAACACTTAGAGTAAAATAAAATGGAACGTTCTATCTTTTATTTCAAGAAGAGCAATGTGTACTTGCAATAAAATGTATGAAGATATTGAAATAATTTCAGAAAAAATAAACCCACAGTAATTTTATTTGTACTTTATTACCAAGGAAAGTTGAATTATTTCTTGGATATGTTGAAATTGGAAAAAAATACCAAGTAGTTTATGCCCTAAGTAGGAATAAGACAAGGTTTCTTGTTTCTTGTCAACTGTTTTAACAATTTGTTGTATGGTAGCCAAAATGACCAAAGATTTAAGCTCCTTCAATTTTCAACACTTTTTGATTTTATCCCCAATGGAAACACAGCTCCAATTTGTTTTGTGTATTAACTCATGTAACATAAACCATTGTGGTGTCAGCATTTTGATATAGCATTGAAGACAACATACATGAAATTAGATTGTTAAAGACATACATTTTTGGTATTATGATAAACAAGAAGTTGGATTTATTTCCCTCTCATATGACACATATTAAACTTATTCTAAAGATTTTATTTTACCCCAGGATGTTATTTTTGTTTCTTACCATTACACATCCGCAGTAAGTAGTTTTTGCCGGCAGTGTAAAACATTTCCTGTAAGAAAAGAAACCATTTAACAGCAAAATACTAAATCACTCAAGGGGGTTGGAGACACTGCAGTGTCCCCTTTAAGCTGAAAATCCAGTGCAATTCAGATGATCACTGCCGTGGATACTTGTAGTATATGGAGACCCTGTCCCTCGTGGCCGGAATTTATCAGCAAGAATCTGCAATGTTGTCCTCACTCCGTTTGAATTCAGTAAAATACTAAACTAGAAAAAGTTTACAGAAATATTTCAGTACAGAATGTGTTAATACTTCATTATCAATATAATCTTTAAGTTCCTGTTGTCATTGTAATTGTTTATTGTTATTTCTCCCAAACAGTGTGCTTTCATGCATTCAGAATCTCTTTGAAAGCCTTATGTCCTAATTAAAAAACATATATCAAGGTTTTAGTCATATATAAAAGGTACATATATCACATATCATTAGCGTTTTTGTTACCTAATTTTACAACAGCCTGTCCCTTTATGAATTGGGAAAATATGGCATTATTTGTATTGAAATTGGGGATATATCTCCCAGTTTTCTGTCATTTTGGGAAAATAAGGCACTTTTTAGCTGGGGGAAACAGTCTGTATTCAGCAGTTAAACTGAGCAAAAAATCACTGCTTATTATGCAATTATCAACACATAATGAGGTTGATTAAGGATTAATCAACCTGAAAAAGATAAGCTATTTCTGAAGATAAACCTGTGGCTATATACAATATGCACATTCGCTCTACTACTTACAGATTTCCAGGTACTTAATCTGTCCTCCACGAGGCAGAAGAGTTCCTCACATTGACTAAGGGTGATGACATCAAACACATCTGATAAAAGCAGGAACGGTGTGGATGCTGCACAAGCCTCTGAAGACAAAAGTACAAACAAATGTTTACATCATTCAAATCCATGTTTATTGACACCTCAATCTATAAAATTAGACTTACCTTGTACTTGTTGTTGAACAACAAAAATGTCAGATACAATGTCAACAGACGAAAACCAAGAGACGTTAGATTACACAAGGAGATTTAACGTTGAACAGTTTTATTTCTCATCAGAATTCTTTCATCTCTTTAAAAACGTCATTTGGACTTACGGGAGTGTTTACTCTATTTATACTCCGACATTAAAATGGAGTTAATATTGGTTTATTTTAATATTAATTAATATACTCTAACAAAGTATTACTCTTTTTCAGTCTAACGCACACAGATATTCTCGTATTGTCTGGCATGTAACCTTAATAAAAGGATACAGAGAGGAGAGGGCCATGTTTCCTCATACACCTACCTTGAGTGGCCAGTTCTACTGAAGCATCAATGACTGATTTACATGCCAGACAATCAGGATCGCTGGTCTGAAAACAACAGAAATATCGCTGTACAAATGTTATTACAGATAATCCACATGCTTCACATATGTTGTGTGTAGAACTTCACAAAAAAAATTCATTTTGCTATGTACATGTATGTATCGATTTTATAACCCTTAGTGCCTTTGAAGTGTAATATACAGTGTAGTAAAAATAAATTCACACAAGGGGCGAGTAGTTGACCATGCTTTATGCTGCACAAGGATAAACTACAACCATACAGTGTTAATATTTATGTGATATACATATGTTTTAAGAATTCAAAACATATTCTTGGGGATTTTTGAATTTTGGATATATTTGGGGAGTTAGAAATAGGGATGGTCCACCTTAATCTAAAACTTGGGGTAAATTGGCAAGTATGAGGTGACCACTTATAGTATGGCACCCCCACCAAAGTCCCCTGATGGGTCAGTCCCTTCACAAATATATATTCCTATACTCATCCTTTAAGGATCATTTGAAAGAATATTGGTGATAATTTATCAGAAAGTTTAAGACAAACTGTTGTTCAAAGGTTTTGTACTCGGTGGCACTTCATGTCCCTGCCCCTCATCAGTCCTTTAGGTAAGGGGTGTTAGCCACTTTTTTGAGTAGATTTTCTAATCCCCAACACAGGCTAACGGTTATCCAAGTTTCATCAGAATCTGACCAACGTTTTTTGAGGAGAAGTAAAAAATATGATTGTGATCAAAAATGGGCAAAAGCAGTTTGTTGCCTCCCCATTTGTCAGGTAGTCTAAAAATGGGGATGCAACCAACTGCTTTTGATTAAAACCTCTCATATAGATTTTTGGGTGGAACGTTAATTACACTGTCCTAATTTTTATTCAACATTAAAGCAAACCTACCACAAAGGCATGCATGACGTCTCTCAAAGCTTGATCCATTGCCAGTTTCTTCTCCGTGTCACTGTTGTTAACATAAAGAAATACATTAAAAATCAATGAACAATGTCATACCATTTCAGCTCTATCAGAAGTCCTTACCTTTTGCAAGAGCTCCTATGTTATTACCCACGTATCCAATGGAATAAAAAGAAGGAGGGTTTCCAAATAATTTCCCACCATTACACTATGAAGATATGGCATCATTATTTTGTTTTTGATGTTAATTGTTTTGTCTGAGGATGTTGCTCAGGTTTTTTTCCAGGAATAATACTGAACATAAATTTTAAATAATCAACAGGTTCTTATTTTTTTAAGAAATAACCATAAAGAACAATAGATAAAGATATATCCTTTGAAGTTTTTTCTATATTTACCCGCCATTATAAGACTGGAACTCTTCCACATATTTATCTGCAGTTTGGTGCTGGATAATTTTCTCCACCAGAACCTAAAAGTAGAAATATTTATCATAATAATAATAAACAATAATTTGAGGTTCTTATATACCGCTTTATCACAACCTAGTTCGTAGGTCGTCTCAAAGCGGTTCACAAAATATTATCCGTGGTTATAGGGCCTTTGCAACCAGCCAATATCTTTCTCAACTCCCAGGGGAGCATACAGCCGGAGCTGCCATTTCGGCGCTAACAGCTAGCATTCAACAATATTAGCGCTGCCCAACCATATACTCATTTACAGCTGAGTAGACTGGAACAAGCACAGAGTCAAGTATCTTGGTCAAAGACACAGTGCTGTGCCGTGACTCGAACCCGCAACCCTGCGGTCATGAGCCCAGCTTCCTACCACTAGACTACCGTGCCTCCTCATACAACAAAGCTGAGATATTCAGTTGGAAAGGGCCTTTAGCGCAAGCAAGGTTTTTGCAACTTTATAAAATACTTAAAACATAAGTGTCTGTATCATACTGTAAACAGGAAAAGTGTGCTTCCCCTGGGAATTGAACCAGCAACCCCAAGCAAGCTTCCTTAAGGCGATCACCACTCTACCAATTGAACTAAAGGACTTTACCGCCAGCGTGAAGCTAGAAAGTGACTGTGATCCTATAAACAATTAAAATCTGCCATATCTTGACCCCCTTTCACAATAGGGAGTGCCACAGACACCAGGAAAGAGAGAAGTGCGCTTCGACCAGGGATTGAACTAGTACTAATATTAATACCCGGCCTCCTCTGACACAGCCAGGTATAAAATCGATCCCATGCCTTGTAATGGAGCAAGCCTGGTGTGAATCACACCAGGGCGATTTTAGAATTAATTGACACCACATTGGTCTGCATCCATAAATAGGGTTTTAACATTAACTATTTCTGTTGATATCCTGCATAACTTGAAGTTTAACTCTGCCTAAAATGTCGTTAAATTATCAAGTTAACGTAATCAAAAGCGCAATCAAAATCTGAATTGACCGCCATGTTGGAAAGTTCGTCTCTCTTTCGATATAGGTCAGACGTCTAAATATTGGTGTCATGACCCAATATGGAAATTGTAGTAAACATGGCGGCATCAGTAGTAATATATTTGGCCAAGCAGGCCATATATAGAAAGGATAATTGAGATGAACCCATTGAGATAACATCACGTGTGATCTGTCATGGCGGTCGTTTCTATTTTTCCCCCGAAGTCAGACTTGGTTAATTTTGTAAAAGATTTTTTCATTGGTAAGGATTCGCTTTTTCAACAATTTAATATGCAGTATTTTGATAACATACTATGAGGAGTGAACCATATGTAATCTTACAGATTAGCACTTTTGATTTTGCTCCATAAGTTGGCATAGGACCGCTTCGTAGCTCTGATGACGCAATATATAACAAAAAATCTCTCCCATTTTCAACATAATTTAATTATCAATATTTCATACCCTTGTCCTTAATTTAGAAGTTCATCTTAATAACGAAATAGATGTTTATAAATTGAAGAAATCCATGGGTAAAGAACGCACATCGTGATATGGAGGCGACTAATTAGTGAGTGTACATACAAATTATAACTGTTACCCTGTGACGAGTTCAGGTGTGAATTGGCAGGGTATGTCAATATGTCGTGAACCTTTCTCTAGAATTTTAATTAGCCAGAGGAGTAAGATTACAATTTCTAGGACTGATTACCTAATAATAAAGGCTTTTACTTCTATCCGCACCTGCCTCCCTTATAATTAGTTCGGCTCCTGTAAGATCTCCTCCAGGTAAGTCACCTTCACACCTGTGATGACCCCCCGCCGCCCCCCCCNNCCCCCCCCGGGCTTACTTGGGTAAGGTACTAGTGTCGGTCCAATTATAAGCTATAAATTACACAACTAACAAATAGGTGTAAAGTGAATACAAGAGGCCCATGGGCCTTAACGGTAACCTGAGTCCTACAGTATTTATTTTTGTTGTTGAAATCTGTACCAATTTGAGTAAAAAATAGTTAAGTATAACGTTAACTTATCTTTGTAAGGACCATGAGCTGATCATTCCTAGAACAATTTTCAGTTAGATTGGCCTAATAGAACTTGTTTTTAAGTTTGAAATAGGTATTTACAAAAAAGCGGCCATGGCGGCCAAATTGTATTTCTGATCGACCCGAAAAATAGCAACACTTTGTCAGGACCATGATTCGATCATTCCTACAAAGTTTCAGTTCAATCGGCCATGTAGAACTTGACTTTAAGTTTGAAATAGTTTTTCAAAATGGCGGCCGTAGTGGCCATATTGGATTTCTGATTGACCCGGAAAATAACAACACTTTGTCAGGACCATGAGTCGATCATTCCTACAAAGTTTCAGTTCAAACGGCCATGTAGAACTTGACTTTAAGTTTGAAATAGTTTTTCAAAATGGCGGCCGTAGTGGCCATATTGGATTTCTGATTGACCCGGAAAATAACAACACTTTGTCAGGACCATGAGTCGATCATTCCTACAAAGTTTCAGTTCAAACGGCCATGTAGAACTTGACTTTAAGTTTGAAATAGTTTTTCAAAATGGCGGCCGTAGTGGCCATATTGGATTTCTGATTGACCCGGAAAATAACAACACTTTGTCATGACCATGAGTCGATCATTCCTACAAAGTTTCAGTTCAATCGGCCTAGCAGAACTTGACTTTAAGTTTGAATTAGTTTTTCAAAATGGCGGCTGTGGCAGCCATATTGGATTTCTGATCGACCCGAAAAATAACAACACTTTGTCAGGACAGTGATTCGATCATTCCTACCAAGTTTCAGTTCAATCGGCTAAAGCTCAGGTGACCTAAAAATGCTCATTTCGATGCTCTTATAATGAGGCTTTATCGTGAAAACATCCTTTTGTCTTAAAACTTTCTTTCGGTATGTCAATTAATATTACAATATTTTATGAAGTTGATATATCAGAAGAAAAATGATGAAATATTGTAGAATTAAAATCACTGAACCGATTGAAAATTGACCATCTAGAAAAAACGGAGTTTAAATGAAAACCTTGCCTATTTTTTCTCTGTATTATAATGTAATGGCTGCCAGTAATGACTTCTCATTCTGAAATCACCGTGTATTCTCAGATGAATTTAGCAATGTTGTAGTTATTTTACGAAGCTGAATCCAAAGAAGCGCAACATAAAAAATACTGTAGAATATATCACCAAACAGATTTAAAATTGACCGTCTAGAAAAAACGGAGTTTAAACGATAAGCTTGCCTATATGGGCTACTGCAGCCCAAGTCTCGCGTCGGATCTCCGAGAACAATAGGCTCAAGCCTGCGTTAGAGAGATCTGCACAAGTTGCCAATCTCTGGCTTTATTATCTCTGATATAAGTTTTCATATAGTGTCGACGTCGATGTAAGCTGATCCAGCTTCTTGGGACGCATCTATAAACTGTTCTCTAATCATGTTTGGTTGTGAGTAATAGGTTGGTACAAATTTTTGTTGATGATGACGCCAGTGATTGTTTAACTGAACTATTTAGGGAGGGGGCCTCTACAACTATATTTGGTAGAGTTCCACACGCCCACGACCCTATTACTGTATAGGTTCCTGGTTACATTGAGCCTCATCTTTCTCTTGAAGAGTTTTTTTGAATTTCCTCATGTTGTAGCCAATGTTGCCATTTTAATAATTTTGTCCAGAATGTCAATGTCATACATGATTTTAAAAATTTGTATGACGTCTCCTCGCAATCGTCTGTATTCTAGACTGGGGAGACCCAGCGTACAAAGTCTCTCACTGTAGGATTTCCTTTTAGGAATGGTAGGCGTCTTGTTGCCCTGCGTTGAACATTTTCAATGGCAATTTGATCCTTTTTGAACATTGGAGACCATATGCAGGTGGCATATTCCAAATGTGGCGGCACTAAGCTTTTAAACAATTGAATAAAAATGTCTTTGTTTATAAATGTGAATGTCCGAAATATTAGTCCAAGGATTCTGTTGGCCTTTGGAGACATACTCGATGACATGGTCAGTAAAATTTAGTTTATGGTCAAATATTACTCCCAAATCTTTTTCTTACTTCAATTTGTCCATTTTTTGTTGTATAAGCCGAGTCTATGGTTTGATTTCCTACTGACATGTGTTTACATTTTTTCCCATTTAGTTTCATTTTCCAGACTTTTGTTCAGTCATATAATCTGTGGATATCATCCTGTAGAGTATTCCTATCATCGTCTTTCGAAATTCCAGAGTATAATTTTGTATCATCAGCAAATAGTTTAATTATGGATTGTACGACTTCCGGCATATCGTTGACAAATATCAGGAATAAAAGAGGTCCTAGGACACTCCCTTGTGGGACACCACTGGTTACATTCCTGGTATTGGATATTTCACCATTAATCACTACCTTTTGCTTCATCCCGCTTATAATTTTTTTTATCCATTGGAGCGGCTTCCCCTGGATCCCATATTGTTCTAATTTAAACAGCAGTACCGTTTGTGAGGGACAGTGTCAAATGCCTTGCTAAAGTCAAGGTATATAACATCTATCTGGGTTCCATTATTTACTTGTTCTGACCAATCTTCAAGAACCTCTTGTAGCTGGGTAACACAAGATTTTCCCTTAGTGAAACCGTGTTGACACTTGGAGAAAAGATTGTTGGTGTCCATATGATCCATAATGGCATCCTTGATGATTTTTTGCATTAATTTTCTAAGAACTGATGTTAATATAAGCTGATTGGTCTGTAATTTTCTGGGCTAGTTTTTGATCCGGATTTATGTATGGGGGTCACCATGGCATTTTTCCAATCCTGGGGTAGTTTTCCTTCATTCAGAGATTTTTTAAGAAGATGATGGATTGGTGTGACAAGTTGTTAGTCGACTCTAATAGTAGTTTTGGATGGAATAGGTCGGGACCTCCTGACTTATTTGGATTTAGTAGCCTTATTGCCGATAGTATCTTGTCTTCCGTGATGTCAATGAATGGTTCCCAATAATTTCTTGTATTGAAAACTGGTAGTGGTTCATTTGTTTCGACAGTGAAAACACTTGTGAAGTAGTTGTTCATGATCTCAGCTTTGTCTTTATTGTTAGATGTCAAGTCACCATTGGCGTCTTTGATATTTCCTATTGTACTTTTAGCCTTGGTCTTCGACCTAATGTATTTCCAGAATGTCTTGCTATTTGATTTGATGTCCATGGCCATGCTCCTTTCATAATTGTATTTAGATGTTCTAATTTGTTTCAGAGCTTGGTTTCTAGCTTTTTTGTATTCGTTCCAGTTCTTTTCATCTTTACAATGAAGGGACTTTTTCCATCTGGTTTTCTTGTGCCTTATAGCATGTACTGCCTTCCGTGTCAAGTGGTGTTCTATGAGTAAACTTGTCATTTTTGGTCTTGCTCACTGGTATGTGTTCTTTTACGATAATTGATAAAGTCTCTGCAAAGACCTTCCATGACTCATCTACATTTTTGACAGACAGCAGATCTGGCCAATTGACATCTTTGATTTTCTCTCTGATCTTTGTGTAGTCGCCTTTATGGTAATTCAATCTCTCTACTTTGCTGGTAACATTTTCAGTATATAGGCAAAGCTCGAAGTTTGGAGAGATGATCGCTTAGTCCAAGTCCGGGTTCATAGTTTATTTCATCAAGCATTCCCTCCTCATTGGTAAAAACAAAATCTATTGGTGGTGATTACTTTCTCTAATTCTAGTAGGTTTGGTAACATGCTGGTAGAGGCATTCATTTCTTGTGCATTCTAAAAATTTTGTAGCCAAGTGTTGATCCGATACTGATGTTGTACATGTATTGGTTGTCCAATTGATGTCCTTGTAGTTGAAGTCCCCCATGATGACTATGTGACTATGACGTTGACGGCTCATACTGGCAATCACATCGTGTAGAGCAATCAAGTTATCAATGTCACTGTTGGGACTTTTATAGATGGTTCCAATTAGGAGCTTGTCGCTGTTCTCGAGATCTATACTGCACCAAACTTGTTCTGAAAAAATGACCATTGGTTGGACTGTTATTGCTTGTAGTTTAGATTTGGTGAATATGGTCACACCCCTCTCATTGTTGGACATGTCCAGGTGGGTTTCGTATCCTGGTATCTTGTAGAAGTCTGAATTATTTGTCATACCTGAATTTTTATAATGGATCTCTGTCAGGCTATGATGTCAGGGTTGTTGTTAGTAATGAATTCCTCAAGTTCAGGCATCTTGTTCTGTGTCAATACATCAACATTTGAATAAAAAATGTGGAGGGAGTTCTGTGTTTCAAGATGGCTAACATTTCCGCTATTTACTGATTTAAAATCCTCGTTAAAACAGCTATCCTAGTCTCTGTTGCTGCCAGGAGATGTAGGAGGGCTGTCAACTACAGTGGGATGACTGTCAACCAGCGTAGTTTCCTTCCCATGTTCGTATATCGACTCGCTCTTCAAATGTGACAGTTCTCGAGATAGTGGTATGGGACTAGGAGGTACTTGGTTGGTTGTTTCCATTTCCTCATCTACGGATTCCATTCTTTTAGATCCGTTGTTTTTTTACTTCTACCTTGTTACTTTTTGGGGGGGATTGATAGGCCTCTTTTTTTCCTCCTGTCCTCTCGCTGGTCATCTGTAAGGTCCCTGGTGAGGATAACAGATTTGAATCTATGATTGACCTTTGTTTTTATTGATGGTGCTTTTTCCAGTAATAATTTACGTTGGCTTTTGCTACCTAGAATCACCTTTAATGGGCGATTTTTTTCTGTGGATTGTTTGCCAATTCGGAATTGAGTCGCAATTTCTAGATCTTCAACACCAAGTTGTGATGCCAGCCTCCTTAGGTGATTGTCATCCTCTAATTTCTATTCTAATCCCATTTCTTTCTTCGATTCTGTGAAGTTAAAAAGAAATATATATTTGTCTCCCTTTGCTAAGGATTATGTAGCTCTTTGGTTCAGTTGTCAACCAGGTTTACTATGTCCTTTTTGAGTTCTTCCATAACAGATCCTCATGTCAGTTTAGCCTTCTTTAATTTTAGTATCTTGAGCTGCTTCTACCTCGCTGATTTTTTTTCCTATTGTAATCATTCTAGTCTCTGTTTGGATCTGCATCTTCTGAAGGGAGGTTTTAATCCGAGCAACTGTGGGTTCCGTCTGGTTACAACATGTACATAACCATTTGAAGTCCCCTGCCTCGAGACACTGGATAAGTCCATTTGACAGCCCTGTGCCTTTGTAACAATATAATAGATAACACATGTTACACTCGATGAGTTTATTGTCTAGTTTGCAATCACATTTGTTGCAGGCCAATACAGAGTTATCATCTCTTTGTCTTTTCCTTGCCCAAAGTACATGTGTAAGGGTACTTGGTTTCAAAGCACACACCATATTGGAAGGTGGATGGCAGTCTATCTATGTGGATACTGTTAGTAAAACTGCAGGTGTTGACTCGCGATCGAGGGACAGTGTCTACGAGAGTCAGAACTAGAACTGGCAGAGTCACCCTGCCGAGTACATCCAACCAAGTAGACACTGTATACGTGACCGACCAATTAATAATATGAGAGTGGCAAGATTACCTTGCCGGCTCACAAATTTGAATATGATTAATTTACACCTGATTGTTCCCTACATGCAGTGTTGTCTTAATCTGGGAGAAAGGTCTAGTAATGGCAGGGTTACCCTGCCGATTATAACCAACCAGGTAAACACTATGTACTAGCTACAGTGATGTCCAATACATCACCCTTTATCTGTTCTAAGGAGATGCAGCAGTAGACATCAATATCTCGAACCAGAAGCCGCGTCCAAGTGTCCACTTATTTATTTCCGGGATGGATACCGTCCCTATAAAGCTTCAAATTGATGCTGTACTGGCTACCTTTGTTCTTACGTCCCCCACGTGAACGGGTAAGACAATAGTTGAAGAGGAAGCTGATGACATTGTTTTCCAAGTTAAACTGAGGGTATATACATAAATATTTTAAATCATACATAAATTACTATAATAATATAAACAAGTATTCACAACAAAATATAGTGTAAAAGTTTGATACATTATAAATAGTTTTAATCCCTGCGTAAACAACTAAGAGTCATCTGTTTGCATTGAGGTCAGTTGCCAAGGATGAAAAGAAGTTACGTATATCAATAGCGAAACTCTTGAATCTGGAAGATGTTCTCTGTGTGATGGAGGAGAGGAGACATGCGTTGGTTTTGTTTTGTTTTTTGGGGGGATCTTTGGGGTCTTTTTGGGTAAATCGTGCTGCCGGTTGGTAGGGTCAATCGAGTTTTCAAGCTGCCGACAAAATGCCTCAATAGAAATATATTTCAAACCGCTTTACTGTAAATAACGCATTCACCTTTACCTAATCATTACCTTAAACTCGTTTCTTGCTTTCCCGAACTCAAACATCATGGAAGCTGCCATTTTTGTGATTTACCACAAAACTTGTGACGTATTACACACTTCCGGTTAGTATTAGCAACTTCACGTAGGCAAAGGTTAGTGATTTTGACACATTATTGAACTAGTCTTATATAAAAATCACATTTGCTGTAGATGTTATGTTGCCTTTTTTTACGTGAAATAACAAAGACGTTGCGATAAAATTATATCTATGAATGCAAAAACGTGACGAAGATAAGGTAGGCTCCCTGTCACAATAACGGTGGACAGCTGGCTTTTAATGTGCAATTGTTGTCGTCTGCTAATTCAGTCACTGTGCACAGGTGTGATGCCTGTTGCAATTATTTCTAGAGAGCTAGGTCCCAAATGAGAGAAATATGGCAGGAAAACTTGAGCATTGTATAAAGGAAGAGGTTGTGTTTACATACACGTATATGAATATTGAATATGCTTGCATTGATCATCGTGATTAATAGACACAAAACTGAGTGCTTACAAAGTGGAAATTTCTAATCTCCCATCACGTACCAGCATATACAATTTTAGCTCACCTGCCTGAAGGGCAAGCGAGTTTATGCTATGGCGTATAATCCGTAATCCATCTGTCAATATTATTTTTTCCTTTACAAAGCTACTTGTCCTGAACGGGGCTTAGTGGAATATAATTAAATTTGGTCTGGAGCATCGATCCTTGGGCTCAATTTTGTAAAAACTTTGGGTGTGCCCGTCCCCCCCCCCCCCCCC